AAGAGACATAGCTAGAACTCAGTCTTTTTAATCCACAGACACCCCAGGGAGTTTGAATACTACTTTCTTTTCTAGTGGGGAGATGGGATAATCGAAAGAATTCTGTTCAACAGCCCAAGGGCATAGGTCCAATAGTTCTGTTCTTAAAACTCCATTCCCAGCGCCTTTCCTTCATATCCTAGTTTGACCTTGTACGATGTGTAAAATCTTCACTATTCAAGGTTATAAGAGGCAACATGAGTAAGTCTATTTTTTGCCTACTGTTACTTAAAATAATTGATTGAATATGATAAATTTCATACTAGTATTTTAGCTTGTGGTTTCTTCCCCTTTTTCTCTACTCTAAAGTAGTTAAATATCTTTTAGAGTATTACATACACCAGAAAAAAAGTGGGTGCTGTATATATAGTCAAATTTCTCTTAAAGAATAGAACCTGTGAATGACCATAAAAGGTAGGACGCTCAATTTGGGACTTAAAATTCTCCAACGCTAGAAGCATCCCATTGTGTGGCATTAATTTAGTTAGGCAATAAGTGGCATTAAGCAGTTCTCTTTGTGCTTTTTATATTCTAAGACAAAGATGTGGCCTGCCATTTCTAATGGTATAAGCATCTAGTTGTCTAAAAAAAGATAAATCAATAAGCATATTTTTTCATGAATAATAAGAATATGCCCAAGTAGTTATGAATGAAAAGTTGGAACACAAGCTGCACAGCCTTACCATTCCAAGATGTAATCAATTCAAACAGGTTTTAACCTCATTAAAGAAGATCGTATAAGGGAACTTTTTACTTTGAAAGGTTTTAACCTCTGGCACATAAATGTTTCTTTAGTTTTTATATAAGAAAGGATGACACCAACTGTAGCTTAGCACTTCAATTTTGTTACAGGGCGAAAAGATACCCAATTAAAGTTGAAAGTGGAGCATCTGCTGTATATAAAGGAAGTAGAATATTTTACCTTTACCTGGAAACATCTTGGGAGAAGGAAGCATGGTGCAAAGCCCTTCGTCTTGCTTCCTGTGAGGATGAAGAAAAAATAAAATGGCTGGCAAAGTTAAATGTAGAGTTCCAGAATTACCTGACGTCACTAAACGCAGCGTATCCTTCATTTATGAAACCATCTTCTAGTTTTGGTGCTGAAGTAGTTGATAAATCAAGTAAGCCAGATGGTTCCTCGTCAAAAGTTCGTCAATTTCTAAAAAAGTTAACCAAGAAAGCTTCCAAGAATGCTCCAGAAAATAAGGCAAGTAGCAGTTTAAAATTAGGCCCTGAAGAACGAAAGTTGATTGAGAAAGGCCCTTCATTCCAAGACCTTGACTTGGCTAGTAGTGTCATGAAGGTTGCTCCAACAAGAAAGCCTCTTGATTTTTCCAATGAGGATGTTATAGTGCCTTCATCTACTGGGTCTGTCATTTCTGATGCAGATTCTGAGGACAGGGTTATTGGTGATGAAGGATCCCTTTGTTGGAATTTGTTAATATCACGGTTGTTCTTTGATGCTAAAAGAAATGAGCAGATGAAAAGTTCTTTGCAAGAACGGATTCAGGTTCGTGTCTCCTTTTACTTGATTATGAGATGTGACGTAATTTCAATTGTCATCATAGTTTAGCCTTTTTTAGTTTTTAGGCTAAATATTGGTTATTAAGTTACTTGTATTGCTTTTCTAGGACGTTAACAACTGGTATACATACTATTACACCTTCAAGTTACCAATCTCAAAAAAAATAAAATACTACCACACCTTAATTCCAAGGTAGTTGTAGTTGGTTGTATGTTTACTCTGTATCTGTTCTGTCTATTTGGATCTAGTTCATGCCAAAACTCATTAATTAGTTTTTCAAGACATGAAATGCAGAAAAAATAATGTCAAATTTCGTTAGGATGTCTCTAGATACAATGATCTATTGTATTTAAATGATTGAATATTGTAGACATATTTTTTTGTGTAGTACATATTACAGGAGTTATAGTGTTCCTACCCTATTAAGAAAAAGGACGTTATATGATATACTAGGACAATCTCTACTTAATTGTAGGATAATAATGACTTGTGTTATAATTGTACTAGATGAAGCTTCCTGTATTACAAGACCCTAATGTGTTGTGTCAATAATAAAATCTCCAGCATATATAGAGGACTTGAACGAATTTTCATTTTTGTCTTCCCATTTCTGTGTAAAGAAAATTATGTAGATGATGCAGAAACCTTAGTAGAATTTCTAGATTCCTTGTAAGTTGAACAAGGTCTTCTTTAATTGTACATATAGCTGCCAACACTATCTTGTTAATGAAGGAAGACGACCCTAATATGTAATGTCAATAATTAAATCCTCAGTTCATCTCTCCTTTCTCTCTCTTCTATTTCTTTACATGGTATCAGAACTTTCAAAATTTGGTAGACTCAATTGTATTTACGTGTTTGCCAGTGTTATTTTTATCTTTCTTTTTCCTGACCCAGTTCTTCTTTTCCCCCTCTTTTTTGGCCGGTGTCCTATGCTCTCTACTCCCTTCTATTCCCAATGCGCCACTCCTCCTTTTGCCGTGGGGCACCAGTCCTCTCAACACCGCTCCCTTCTCTGGTGATCAGTGTTGTTTCTCTCTTTTAGCCGACCAGCATCGTTCCTCTTGCAGCGACCGTTTTGGTGGCGGCTTGGCATGCAACCTTCCCTTCCATTTTGATAGCAGTTTTATAGCAAGATTTGAGTGTTAGTAGGTTTCCTTTGATATTAATACTAAGTACTCGAGACGAGCAAACTCAATAAAATAAAAATTAAACAACTTCTATGCCTGAAACCCAAGTTAATTGGGAATGAAATAAATGTTGAAAATAAAAATATAGTTCATACGGTTGTATGATAAAATGTTCAATGCACAATTTGTCTTGGATCATTTGATTTGATAAATCGAATATGGTAGAATATTATAAATGATATATATGAAACAACGATGTACCTTACATTAAGTAAAGAATAATTGTTGACCTTATCAAGTAGAGAATAAGTACATATCTTATTATTTTAAGTAAAGACTCCTACACAAGGGGCCCTTATTGTGTAATGTCATTAATGAAGTCGTCAATGTGTAGTTTTCTTCTTCTCACTTTTCTTGGTATCAGAGCCTCTATAATCTCAACAGAGACTCAAATAACTTTTGGATTTTAAACAACAAAAAAAATTGTTGTCTCTAATCTGAGACTTGTTCCTATAAAATGTCATACAACTTGATACTTCTATGTGTAACATTTTTTAAGAAATTTTGCCACGTGCTTGGATAAATGGCTAGTGATCAGCAGAAAGCTATTCTGTAAGAAAATGAACTTGGTTCAGTACTTGCCACCTTTCTACTTAAGTAAGCTCTTGAAGGATTAAACTACTTTTCTTTCCCTGCTATGGCACTAAGAAAATTTATCAGTTTAAGACGAGAAGTTTATTTAATGCACTTCACTTTGAAGCTTTCTGTGCATATATTTTAATGTGACAGTTTCATGATCACTTGAAGAGAAATATGTTGTTGTAATAAGGCTATAACTCCATGTTCTCCTTATTTGTAGAGAACCCTCTCCAATATTCGTAGCCCCAGTTACATAGGTGAAGTAACTTGTGCAGCTGTTAATGTTGGTGACCTCCCTCCCTATATACATGCAATGAGGGTTCTTCCCTCAGATATGAACGAGCTCTGGGCTTTCGAAATTGATATTCAGTACTCTGGTGGTGCAATATTAGACCTTGAAACGAGGCTTGAAGTTCAAGACCTTGATTTACATGAGGGGGACGAAGCAAGTTTAGATTCAAGTGTTGTTGATAACGTCAAATCAGATCTGTTAGAAGGTTATGAACGCTTCAGTGAACAATTTAAGCATTCCGACGAGAACGCAGATAAGATGGACCAAAGAAGTGGTGGTGATATGCTTGCACGTATGTAATAAAACCTTTTTTGGTTATTTCATTGTTGAAAAATAGATTTATCTTTATCTGTTAGTAATCTAAAGTGCATTAATCAGGTAACTTTTCAACCGCAAGCAGAAGCTCTAATTGCTCTAGTTGCTCACCTCCTGGATCTAAGTGGAAATCAATCTTACATTCTGTGGCCAAGCAGGTTTCACAGGTTGGTTATAATGTTCTGCTTATCTCTAGCAATTTAACCTTGGGTTTCCCTGAAGTAAACTTCCTGGCTTTGCTGTGTTTGAACGCTTTAACTTGCTGGTGGATGTCAATGGCTGCAACAAACGTGTTGCAATACTTTTGAACCTATTGCAAAATTCATAACTAGGGTACAACACTAGCGTTCGATCATAATTATCTGTAATAATTGCCTTCTTGTTATGCTATAGAAAAAAGGAAGTAACTAAAACTCATGTCATACAGTTGACCTTTGGTATTTTCTCTTTCATAATTGATGAAAATAGAAAATGGTAGTTAGATATGGATGCAAGGTGGTAGAGTTGGGAAGGCAGCTTATCTCTAATTGGATTTCCTTATCTTTCTTATTTAAATTACGACTTGAGACTAGGGGAGAGTGGATAGGACAAGGTGGTGGATGACGTAAAGAAGGGAAGAATAAATTGTGCTGAGAATGGGATTGACTTATTATACAATCATGAGACTTGTGCTTCACTGTTATTTTCCTATTGCCTGTATTACGAAGATATTCAGAAATGCTCCTTTTTTCCTGTTTATGTTGGCTTTGCAGTAGTGAATGGAAAATTTTATGTGTCCATCTTGTAGCTAGTGGAAGTAGCTCATCGATTTCTAACCATTGTATTTCAATTTTCAACATTCAGGTTCCACTCTCATTGGGGATCAGGGTTGCATCTCTACGAGGAACACTGAGGTTATACGTAAAGCCACCACCTTCAGATCAAATATGGTTTGGATTCACAGTGATGCCAGATATTGATATCCATTTGAACTCTTCTGTTGGGGATCGTAAGATCTCAAGTGGACACCTTTTGTTGTTCATAACCAGTCGAATTAAGGTCAGTTTTAAAAGTAATCTTCTGTTCTGTTTGAATGATATTCATCAAGTAAATTGAGATTGCCAGTCAGCTACACAAGCTTTTAGGTGCTGTGAATGACAAAGGTAGAATGTATGCCAAAATGGCCTGAAACTTAGGAGACAACTATTCCGTACTCTCGACAACTGACCAAAGATCCCATGTCTTAGCATGAGGTACTATTGCCATCTGCTATGCTTCTCCTTCCTGATTTTCTTCAACTTAAAGCATCATAAAAGCTTCTCGACTTTAGTTGGCCCAATCAGAGTATCCACCTCAAAAGATCCATGAGCGGATTTTGTGTAGATGATACGTAAATTGGTCTCAAATAGATCATCACAGTATCTATTCAGTGAAATTTAAAAAGGTACTCAGAGGGTGATTTGGTTACTTATTTCGTGGGGAGAGAGGATGATGGTACTTTATATGGCACCAACAGATAGTGTGCTAGTAGAATACACAGCTCGTCTAGCCAGTTTATTACTTTTAGGACTTGTCTTTTCGTGGCACTTACTCAATGACCTGAATTTTTTGCAAATCGTGCCGACTACAAAAGAAAAACCAACTTACTGATTTTAAGATTCTACACCAGGGGATGTGTTGGCAATTTTTCCATATATGTTCTCTTCTCTGCACCTACCGGCTACATTGTTTGCTTAAATTTTCTTGGAAGTTGAGCTGATGCTGTTACAAACTGATGCAGGCTGCTATTCGTGAATCTGTTGTGCTTCCAAACTGTGAGAATGTATGCATACCTTGGATGATAGCAGAAAAGGATGATTGGGTTCCCTTAAAAGATGCTCCCTATATATGGATTCATAACAAATCTGCAGTTAATGCCAAGAAACAAGAATCAGATAGGAGAAGTACCAGCAGTAATGCTGAAAGTGAACAAGAGAAACTGAACAGAGTTGGATGGGCTACTCAAAAGAGTAAGTCCCTGGATCCACACTCTTTGTACTCAGCTCCTAAGGTCCAGCCTAGTTTCAGAAGCCTCACTACAAGTCCAGAAAGAACACACCTTGAGTCTAAGAAACATCAGGGAGAGACACTACCACGCAAGTCATCAGACCCACAGGTATATTTATCAGTTCATATGGGCCAGTCTTCTGGAGCGGACTTGCATGCCCCTTTGTTGAGCCACAATGAACAGCTAGAGAGTCACCGCATGAGCACAGAGGAAAACATGCAAAGCTACTCACCTTCATCTTCTCATTCACTGAGTATGCTGGAGGAACAAAATAGTTCTACAGAAGATGAGATGAAGCCAAGAAGAACAAGTGCAAGGGCTAAGATGCTTGGTTTGCGGAAAAAAATGGGGGAAAAGCTTGAAGAGAAGAAGCGTCACATAGAAGAGAAGGGGAGACACTTGGTGACAAGGATGAGAAGCCACAAGGAATATTCGTAAATCTGCAGTTTGATTGAACAAGGGAAAACACGGGTCAGTTTATTCAAAGGCTGTTCAGTTTAGACTATACGCAAGTTTCTCTCACTTATTCAAGTAGCTAACGAAAATTGGATCCATACTCAGTCTTGTGCCCTGATACCCTTTGTCGATGATCTCTTCTCACTTGTAAAAGTAAAAATTGTAGCCATTAGAAACCCATTTCAAGTACAGTCACATAGTAGATTTAAACTGCTTAGTCTTTGCAGAAATGATGAATACACTTGTACCAAATCAGATTTATTTAACTAAAAATGGTCTGTTATATGCCAATGACAACCCATGTTTGCACTTGCAGTAGGCAGACAGAATGGTCAATACAAAAAGAGGTCTTCAAAGTAACACCTAAGATTTGTAATGCAGGATTATTAAGTCCTTTTTCTTTAGCAAATTGGTCTTGTATTCTTTACAAGTTATATTTTTTTTTCGAGAAAAGACATAAAATGACACCTGAAGTTGTCTCAGATTTTTAAAAACACACCTTAACTATGTAAATGTTCTATTACCCCACAAAAGTATTAAATATCTTTGTAAATTGACCATTTTGACTCATTTTCTCATCAACCTCACACGCGTGAGACACACTCTCCTTTTAATTAATTAATTTAATTTAAATATCAATTAAGTACAGGTTTAACCCGACCCAAATCGTTAAAAAGATAAATGGTACACTTTCTTTTCTTTTCTTCTCTCTAAATTTCTCACTTTCTTTCTTTATATTTTATTTTCTTTCTCAATTGCAATTCAATTACAACTTCTTTTGAAGTTTACATCTATTTCAATTTTGCCATTTGTTGGTCAATTTCTTGGAAAATTAGCTCAGCAAACAAGAAGTTTTCATGTTCATTTTAGTATTTGATAAAGATTATATTTTTTTTCTTCATGGATTTGTGATCTTTCGGAGAAAAACACATGTAAGAAATTATTTTAAGATAAAAACTAAAAAGTGTTAGAATCTTACCTTCTTTTTTTTAAAAATTCATCTTGGACCAATGGTCCATTATTATTAATAATAAATGAGAAAAAAATTACAACTTGGGTTAAAAAGACTCAGACAAACAAAAAAAAATCACCAATTTTAAAAAAAGAAAAGAATTTGAAAAAAAAGAAGAGGAAAGTCTCTACAGAAGGACCAAGATCCTCACGCCTTTCATCAAATTTGATTCAATGAAGCTCTAGTTTGCCTTACCCTTTTTGCCAGCTTCGAAGCATTTATCTACGAGCTTGGGCAAGATTCACTTCGGCAGTACCTTCATTAAAGAGAAAAGAATTTTTTTTCATTAGTATAACAAGAGGCAACAAGGAGACCATATGGAATAAAAGCAACAATTGTCAAAAATGGTTCCTTTGAAAGAATGGGGAAAAGTTAGGGAAGATGAGTACTTTAAAAAGGAAAGAATTAAATAATAGATTAAAAAATGACGCGTGTCACTTGTTAATTCGTTCTTTGGATGAAAAATCTATCATTCACGCGCATTATTTGCGTGAAAACAAACATAGGGAGAAAACGGGTCTATATCTCCTACTTTCGTGGGGTAATAGGACACTCATATAGTTAAAGTGTCTTATTAAAAATTCGGGACAACTTTAGGTGTCACTAATCAAAATTTTATAATTGCGAGTGTCCTTAATAGACCATTCTCACGATTAAAAGGAGCATTTCCATGTTGAACTTTCGTAACGTCAGGTTTCGGTTTTTAGTTTGATTAACGTTTCACAATGTTATAAAATACTTAATTAACGTTTCACAATGTTATGAAATACTTAAGAACTTACATTACACTCTACCCCTTCTAGATTCAACTTCATTACTTATTTATAGCATAGTACTTACATTTTAATTGACTCCTCACAATTAAGACTCAAATTTTCCTTTATTGTCCATTTTAGCATATCAAGAAAATGTAAGATGGTGTGGGGCAAAATTGGGTTAAAAAAGGTTTCACTAAAAAGACATGCTATAAATGATTAAAAATAATTTCGTACATCAACAAGTCCAAAATTTTTATAAATTGCATTGTAAACAAAACCGTCTGTAACAAGAACTCACATCTAAATTAACAAAAAAGAACTCTCTGAAGGAGTCAAGTTCATTCCCAGCCAGTAGCAGCAGCTGGAGCAGGGGTCACTTCTGGTACACCAGCAGGAGGAGCAGCTGCAGCATCCCAACCTCCCTCAACCACTGAAAGATATGGAGGGCATTATATTATGTTATTTTTATACATAGAAGAGAAAGAAACACATCAAAACAGACTCAAATAACTAAGAGATAACTCAATGTATCATGTATCACATTCTTTTTTTTTTCTTAAAGCATTCACAAAGTAGAACAAGATAAGATGAAAGAATACAGAGGTTCTGCATCCACTGACTTTAATAACTAATTCCAGAAAATACGTCACTAACCTGCATCTCCAGACCAGTCACCAGTAGCTGCAGGAACAGATGTTGCACCATCTGCAGCCCATTGGGCATCAGGGATTTGGCTGCTAGTCCAATCACCACCAAGAGCAGCGCCACCATATTCTGCATAATCAGCAATAGCAGGTACTTCCTCATCTTGTTGCTCTTTTGCCTCTTCAGGCTCTCTGTAAAAGAAGAGATCCACCTACAGCAGAACTTAAATGAGAGAATGATACATGTTCAACTGCTTAAAGATGCACACAACACATGTTTAAATTGAATACCAAATAAAAATGGAACTTGAATAATATTCAAACTTAAGAAAAGTTAAACTAGTATAGCAGGTAGGAAAATATTATGAGCAAATAGCTATCATCCATATATAGTTTACCATGACATCCCACTTGGGTCCAGGACTAATGGTACCACGCATCTGTAGTACCATCCTTGCTAAGATCCAAAAGAGAACACCAATGCTGTGCTTTCCTTTGTTGTTGGCAGGGATACCAATGTCAACATATCGCATGGGTGAATCAGTGTCACAGAAGGCAATAGTGGGGATGTTTCCAAGAGCAGCTTCCTTAATAGGCTGCAAATGACTCAAACTAGTTATAAAATGTCAACAACCTAAAAAAGAAACAAGTGATGTTACAGCAGTATCAACCTGGTGATCAGTTCTTGGGTCAGTGAGAATGAGAAGTCTTGGCTCGCTGTATGAAGTCTGAAGCTGATTGGTAAAGGTACCAGGGGTGTGACGGCCAGCAATAGCATGTGCACCAGTATATTGTGCGAACTTCAAGACGGCTCTCTGCCCATAAGGCCTGGCAGATTGCACAATGATGTCCTGAGGATTCTCAATAGAAACAATAACTCTAGCTGCCATATGCAGCTTATCCCATGTCTTTCCAGCGTTAATAATGTAGATACCTGGGAATAAAGGATCGATCATGATACAAGGATAGTTGCTAAACTAACAGATACATTAATTCACTAATATCATTGATTAGGAAGTCATATATATACCCAGCCAAATACAAATTAATTTAGAATCAGAATTTATCAACACTAACACATCATTTTTTACCTAATAATAAATCAACAGATAGTATAAATACCAGAGACAAAAATAGGCATAATAAACAGTAATTCATTGTCAACTGATGAAAGATCAGTTGTTCATCCACAGAAAAAAATATCGTAAAACACATAATCTACATGGATCGCATATTAATTACCTGAATGTACTAGCACTATAGAGTCAAATTATTATTTTTCAAGCATAATAACTAAGAAAAATATACAGCCTATAACCAAACAGTAAAATATATTCACTAAGTATTTCATCCCCTTCAAATCACTAATAAGTATCAATATCCTATTCTAACCATATATTCCGATACCAGCACGTAAATTCTAGGAGAAAATCATATAAATACATACTAAATTATCATCATGGATCCAGAACAGAATGAAAATGAGGATATTTGCAGTTTAGTATAGTGAAGTATAGAGTATACCGTCGTTGCGACGCTTGAAGACGTAACGTTCCATTTGGAAGTCACAGTTCTTAGTACCGAGGTGGACTTCAGCTGCCAACATCAGCTGTATGTCAGCCTCTTTCGTCGTCAATGTCCTTGGTTGCTGTGTGATTGCCGCCATTGGTGTGCTCTGTTACTCTCCCTTAGCTTCCTCTGCTTTTAGGGTTTCACTGCGGCTAGAGAGAAAACACTGAAGGGAACGCCGAGCCATTAAAAAGCTCCTTTCGTTGGGCTTTAATATTGGGCTTGGGCTTTGCTACATTTTAAACCCTAGTGATTCAGCTCTTACAGTGGATGGCTTCATTAATTTGTTTTTTTTTAAATAACGAACTACGCTTAATTATCTTAAGATAAAAAAAGTAGTAACTACTAAGGTAACTACATTATAATAATATCAATTTTAAGGAGTAAATTGGTTTGCTACACTTTTCCGCTATACTAAAATTCACTCCTCATAATTAATAAAAAAAGTCATTTAAACAAAGAGTTTGAGATACACTAATTAAGGGAGGGGGAAAATGTAAAAATAGCCCTAAATTGAAAAAGAGGAAAATGAATCGATATATGTATGTAAGAAAATAAAAAGGGTCCTCTATGCTAATATGTTTGACCCATATTAACTTTAGCAAAAAGGTTCAACCAAGTGGGGCGGATTAATTTACTAATTGAAGTAGTAGTTTTTTTAAAAAAAAAATTAGCTTAAAAATCTCACACTGTAAGTGTCGAAAAAATTATATGAATCGGTTGAATGATTTTTAAGGAGGTAATTATCTGTAATTGAGAGCTCATTTGAGAAATTTAGTTGTGAATTTTTTTAGGGAAAATGGACCCGA